ATATTCATATTGGAACAGGCTACGTGGTATGCACATGTTCTGAAGTAAACTGTGGTTTGTAGCACATGTAAATCTGAATTGTTCACGTCGATTGGTTTCAAGATAGCAATTTCTGACCACACGACTCAAAAAAGTATCATTTTGTGATGAATATTACTTTATAGGAAAAGCTATGAACTAGTTTTTATTAATGTGATACTGATTATACTTATACTATAAATGAATCATAGATGAAAACAACCCCTATCGTACGGGTACTTTCACAGTAGCATAGTGAAGTAAAAATACCTTATTAGCTTCTCTAACTCGTAAGCTATTGACTTTTCGCACTAGTTTCGCTTTCATCCGCGATCTCGCCATTTTTTTCTCTTCGCATGGGAACTCCCTCCAGTCAACGGCTCTGTCACAGCACTTCACATCTTCTTGCCATACAATTTCAGGTGTCGATCGGGGCAACAGACCAGCTCTTGGTTCTGGTAGCAAGCTCGACCTTCGTCGCTGTGGCACATGAATATCATTTAGCTTCTCTGTTTGCATGGGCGCGTAGTAAGATGGGAGCGAGGACGCATTCTTGACAGTAATATCGAATGCATCCGAAAGGGGATCTAATTGCTTGTACGTGGTGGCTCGTGGTTGTATTTTGTACAGCGCATGAAGGTCATACAATTTGTTGTGTGTTTTGCTGCACTCAGTATCCCCATAGGTTTCTGCTGTTTGCTGCCAATTCTCAACATCACGCCATTTGTCGGAGAAATCCAACCTTGCATATAGTTGTGTCTTAGAATGCAGCAAAATAGGCTGTCCATAGTCACACACACCTGTCCCACTCAATTTCATATTTGATATTCCCATAATATCTTTGATTATGCTTTCCTGTCTGGTACAAAACGGAAGATCGTTTTTGCGTGTGCAAAAACTGTCACCTACGCTTGAAAATTTCTCCCTCTCCATTTAAAAAAAACAACGACACCGTGTTTCTTTCAGTGATTATTTGTATAGTGCGACCTCAAGATTTTATCAGAGCGGTAGAATAGCAGTCAAAAGAATTTTCACCTCTCCTTTCTGTTCAACGCACCATAGTATCTGAATATACAATCATCAGTTCCTTTTATATACGGCGGCCGCTCGACGAGATGCACTTAAGAATCTTCGCTGTTATATGTTGCACTGTACACTGTCGTACTATATACTGATAACTGAGCTGTCACACCCTTTGGGTTTATCGCTGCACTCCATCACTCATTCGCGGGAAAGGAGGAACCCGCTGCGGCGTGGTCTGTTGATTTTATCCCAAAAACTGATTATTACAGGCCGGGCTAAAATGCTAACAAAGTATAAAAAAGTCTAAAATGTCGGTGATGATAAAATCATAAAAATGATCGAACTTGGGAATGATAAAAACTATATTATTTTTTTATACATTCCCTGGTACCGAGTTACTCATTGTGGGATAAATGTTCTTTAAAAAAAAGACAAATAGTTTGTTCCACAATCCACAGTGATTCCACGCACTCTCTATTCTCGTATAAACTACAATCGCTAAATGTATGTACTTATCTCTAATAAATACGCTCTACTGAGCACTGACTACTCTACTATGCATCTCTCTTAGAGTCTTAGAGTGAGAGTACTCTAGTAGTAGAGAGTAGTGAGTAGTGACTACTACTAACTGCACCATTTAGTCAAACATATACGTACTACATAATCATAAACGTGCACATATATAGATTGGAGAGAGGGAGGGAGAGAGACCGAGAGAGAGAGAGAGAGAGAGACTGTGAGAGAGACTGTATTTATGTACGGGTACCAGGCCATACATCACATCACTAAGATACGGATTGTACGTTTTCTTAACAGATTTAGAAAAAGTCCTTCATCCTATTTCTTAATTATGAATCTATGTCCAAAATGATTTATTCTTCATAATTGATAATTAGCATTAAGAATAATCACATTACATAATTAAGAATAAAAAAATTACAACTTCACTTCTTAATTTTGCAATAGGGATAATATTATTTATTTCAAAAGTGGCAAGGATGTATGATACAATGTATGAACATATGGTATGGCTCTCATAGTCGCTGTTGTGGTTCAGGAAAGATTATTGATAGGAAGGGATAATAATATTATTTCTGATTAAGAAATAATAAGATATATATATATTATTAAGATTAAGTTATCAATATATATACATATTTCATTGTTAATATGTCATACGAGTCACTGTGACAGACAGACCCTTGGTGACTCATCGCATTCAGGCCTGAATCCCCTGATCACATTTCACAAGTATTTAGACACAGAACAGTGAGAAGTTGGGAATACAGAGCTACAGACACTGTGACACACACGACATTAACTCATTATGTCCCACTGCCACAATATACACAGTCACGTCAATATGCAATCCACTTCCTGAAGATGGCGATTCTACACGCCAGCGATGCTGGATGCCTTAAATGAACTACCTAAGGAGATAGAGATACAAGCGATCCTACGCTTCCCTCCAATTGATCGGCGCTACAAGTTTCTACTTATGGACACATTCATGTACAAATGTCTGGGTGTGTTGGGCACACAGGATCCGAACTTGTATATGGATATGAAATTCCAGATACATGTTCAAGTTTACAGAGGCGGTCAAAAGTATACAGTGGAAGATACATTCGAGTGGTACGCTAGTACCGGTTGCATAGGTGCGGTATCAAAATATGCATACACAGGCTTAAATGAACACCTCCAAGTCGGTAATGCAGCTGTAGTAATACTACAGGGCAAATTATACGGCGAAGAAGATTATCCTGTCCGCGTTGCACTACTCGCCATACTGGTAGAGGACAGTGTTGTTTCGATTGTAAGGCACGACACATTGAATCCAACTCCGTTCGTAAACTTGACGGACAAAAACTGATCCCTATGAGAAACTA